TTATATGTATTTATATATTTATATTTATAACTATATTATATTATATTATATTATATTATATTATATTATATTATATTATATTATATTATATCATATTATATTATATTATATTATATCATATTATACTATATTATACTATATTATACTATATTATAATATATTATAATATATTATACTATATTATACTATATTATACTATATTTTACTATATTATACTATACTATACTATATTATACTATATTTTATACTTTATTATACTATATTGTATTATATTGTACTATATGAGAGCAGTGGCATGGCAAGTCGCGATTCTTTCGGGAGGGCTGTGCGGCCGTGCTGTGTTTGGAAGTCCGAAATATTTTCACAGCTTCACATTGCAGTAGGCGGCATAGGCCAAATGAGCCCGCGAACTTTCGAAGCTCTGTGACGAGGCCGGCGCCGATTTGAATGCAACGTTGGAGCCTGCGACTAGTGAGGGACCCGGATGGACAGCGGTGAAGTTTGCCGCGCGAGACGGCCACGTGGCGGCGCTGAAGTTCCTCCAAAAGGCGCCTCTTTGAGGAGCCTTTTTTGCACCTCCGTGGAGTCGAGTCCCTCTGTGAGGCAGGCGTCAACGTGTGTGCGGCAGCGAAGATTGCAGCCTTGAATCACCACGCGGCAGAGATGTTGGAGGTTCTGGCCAAGGCCAGGGCTGCTGTTTTCTAGAGTCTTCCTATCACGAGTCGTAGCGAGGCCAGGCCAAGGTGAGGGCGCGAAGTTTGGAAGCTCCGTGCGGAGGCCGGGTGCGATTTAAATGCCAAAGTGGAGCTTTCTTCATATTATGATCCTCTCGGGGGTACCGCGGCGCACTGGGCCGCAAGAAATCAAAATCATACCGACGGCGCGGCGGCGCTGAAGTTCCTGCACGAGGCGCCGCTTGGAGCTTCCGGCGCTTTTTTGGCGCCCCCTATATATCCTATATGTAGTATAATTTTTTTATGTGGTATAATACAGTAATATAATATCATATAGCATAATATAGCATAATGTAGACTAGTATTATCTTGTATAATACAGTATAATATAGTATTATTATATAGTATCATATAGCATAATATAGTATAATATAGTGTACTTTAGTATAATATACCGTAGAGTGCTCTGTGAGGCAGGTGCCAATCTGGATGCGAAAGCCGATGATGGTTCGACGCCGGCCTGTTGGGCGGCCGATGCGGGGAGCGCAGAGGCACTGGAGGTTCTCGCCGAGGCCAGGGTTGCGGCTTCGTAGAGTCATGCTGAATCATGCTCTACTCGGCTGAAGGGGTTGTTTGGGAGAGAGTTTTCTTTCCCAAGTCGCCGAGAATCTGAATCGGTGAGGCCGAGGCCGACCTCAATGCAGCAAGCAACAAATTTGGAATGACCCCGGCCCACGTGGCCGCTGCAACGTGCCACCTGGAAGCGCTGCGCACCCTGATCAAGGCCCGGGCCGTTCGCTCTTCGCCCTCTCGCCTTGTGTTCTGGCAGGCCCTGCCCCTGTTCAGGCTGGTGTCAACCTCAATGTCATAGACAATGACGGACAAACAGCGGCCGACCGGGCTGTCGATATCGAAAAGGGGTATTATCCAGAAGACTTGAAGGCAAAAAGGGAAGAGGCTCTGAAGCTGATCCTCCAGGTCAGGGAGCGAACCCTTTAAAAATAGACTAAGCCCCAAAGAAGGACAATGGAGACATTTCAATTCGCGAGGGTTTGGGTTCTTTGCCACTCCCTGCCAGGCCGGAGGCAAACGCAACAAAGCCTGAGGCCGGACTAGAGCCACCGTTGCGGCTGGCTGGATGTGCATAATATAAGTCAAAACGGGTTAGGGTTTTGGGTTTTTTTAAAAAAAAACATAAAATGATATAAGCCAAAACTTGACAGTACAATTCAAGGTACCATAAGATAAGACAAGGCAATATACGGCAACACAAAATAATACACCAATATGTAATACAATAGATTGGGTTGAATAGAAATGCCATATAGCATAATACACGAAAGTATTATTTTGCGTTATCGCTACTTTTGTCATTATATTAGAACTCGTGAAACAGGATGAAATGACGTATTATAACATCTTACAACATACTAGAGCATTCTTGGAGGGTTGGTTCTATACTATAAAAACTTGTGTGGGGCCCTCAAGACCACCGCTGCTACAGCAATGATCCAGACTTCTATAGTTGAAGCTGCGGTTCTGCACTGTTTGCCACAGGCCTAAACCCCAGACCCCTAAAACCCAAACCCTAAACCCATAAACCCATAAACCCTAAAGCCTAAACCAACCTCAAGTCTTGAACCCACAGCCGTTTTGTTAGATCGCCAACGGGAGGACTTTAAACTTTTTAGGAGGTTTAGGGTTTAGCGTTTGAACTTTTGTGCCCCGTTAGTGAAGAAGAGAGCTTCAGACCGCCACGACCCGGTTGCAAGCCTTGTGCGTCGGTGAAAGCTTGCTGACGTTCCGTGCACCTAAACCTCCTGACATTGAACCCTGTTCAACGACGGACCGTACTAGAATAGGTTTTGGAGTGCATTTTTCTAGTGCCAGTGTCTTTACAGGCATAATTATAAACTGGAACTATGAACGGTAGTTTTGCCAAGTATTCAGACCTGCCAAACCCCAAAATTCTGAACTCCGAAAGATTGACCACGGCACGGAAAACCGAACCCGTAGCCGTTGGAGGCTTCAGACTCAGCAGGGTATGAAAAATCCCCATCCATCCATCACCTAGAAGCCCACAGAAACCTTTTTGAACCAGAAACCGCAAGCCAGACCTCCAGCCCCAAACAGCACATCCCAGATCATGAACAGCAGGCCGAGACTCCTGCAATGTTTGGGGTTGGACAATACATGCCATCATTTCCGAGCAAGCGGCTAGTCCTAGGAGCTCACAGTTCAGTAGACCCGAAGCATTAATTAAGCCCGGATGACCCCCGAAACTTGAGCTTCGAGTCATATCCTCATCCCGCAAGGCTTCATTCAGCCCAATCGTCGACGCTACAAATTCTACTCAGCCCAGGGGTTCTGAAACGCCCAAGCCTAAAACTATCAACAACTGATCTCCCGATACAACCTGTATTAAAGCTTCTAGAGCCCTCTAGAACCTTGAGCGAGCTGTACTTCTTTACTTAAAGAGCCCTTAAAGCCAACCCCTCAAAAGTTTAAGAACACGCCGGGCGCCTGACATGGCTGTGGCGTCTTCATGAGGTCCTCCGGATTGCGGCGCAGGGTTGAATATGGCGGGGTTGGGGACTGTAGTAGCGGTTTTCTGGGATTTGTTTTGTTTTCTTTTTCTCCGAGCGAGTGTAGGCATGGTCTGCGAATCTTACTTGTTTGGTGGTCTTGAAGCGTTCAGTGTTGCACAGGTTTCCGCAGCAGCTTTGGGGTTTTCGGCGGTTAAACAGCTGTGCTTAAGACCTGTTGCTCCTTTGGACAATGGCTGACAGGCACGAGTAGCTGGTATGCGCAAGCACTTGAGTCAAGCGCATGATGACGTTGCTGATGACCCTAGACCCTAGATCCTGGACCCCATCATAATAAGAATACCAATATTCATGATAATCATAATAATAACCATATTAATGATTTTCATAATAATGACAAGACTAGTGATGATGATAAGAAGGAGGAAGGGACCGGCAGCCAAAGCCGGACGGAGGCCAGGCCGGGGACAGCGCCTTATGGGCTGATCATGCTGGAACCAGACCTCCGCCAATCGGAAGGGACAGGACTCCGACCCTAAACCTACCCCAAACTCCTAAACCCTAGATCCGAAACCCCAAGCCCCAAACCCCTAAACCCTAAATCCGAAACCCCAAACCCCTAAACCCCTCAACCGCGTTCAAGGCTTCTGTTTTTTTTGGGCGGGGGGGGAAGGGCTCGAGTTCAAGGTTTAGTAGGGTTCCACTGATTTTTGAAGCCACGCCCCTGACGCCCAAGATCCGGTTGAGGGTTCAGGGTTTAGGGTTTTCCCGACGAGCGACACCGCAAATTCCTAAGCCCCTGGTGCCTTTAAATCCCGAAGCCATCAGCCTCTTAAATCCCCAAACCCTTCGAGAGAATAGAAAGCCCGCAGGGCATCCTTCCCGAAACTTTCCTTGCTGTAGAGGTTTGCATAATTACTGATATTTGTCATTAGGTCCCTTGTTGCACTTGTAACTTGTACTATAAGATACACCCAAACCCTAAGTCCTATGCCCTAAAACCCTAAACCCTCAACCCTAAGCCGTAAGCCCTAAACCCTAAAACCCTAAACCCTACACCCTAAACCCTAAACCCCCAAATCCCTCTTGAAAATATCACAAGCCCCCTATCTAAGCCAGGCCGGGGCGCTCCCGGCTGTGCGGAACCCCAGGGCCGTTCTTCGGGGTTCCACAAAGGCCTCTGTAAGGGTTTAGGGTTTGGAGAGTTTAGG